ATAAAGCCCAAGATTGACTAAAAGGATGAAAAATGGTGAACGTTTTTCCAAATGCACCTATTTGAAATTTGCATTTCTTAATATATATCGAGAGCAACAATAATCATGTTTTAAACTGAAAAATATTGACTTGTTCATTTAAAATTTTGAATAACATCGTCCTTTTCTTTGTTTTACAGCTTTCCATCTAACGGACAAGTTGGCCAAAATATTTCCAGAAAGTTGTTTGCTAATCATCCTTGGTATTATAGTAGGAATTGTTATTTATTTTGCTGCCCATGATGTTATGCTGGACTATACACTGGACAGTGACACCTTCTTCCTGTTTTTACTTCCACCCATAGTACTGGAAGCTGGTTATTTTATGCCAAATCGATCATTTTTTGATAACATTGGAACTATTTTACTCTATGCAGTTGTGGGAACACTTTTTAACGTTTTTTGTATTGGTACCTCATTGTACGGGATTGTTGCCCTAGGATGGGTATCTGTTCCAATGGACCTTTTAGATTGCTTGGTATTCAGCAGTTTGATATCTGCGGTTGATCCCGTTGCCGTGCTGGCCGTGTTTGAAGAAGTGCACGTAAATGAATCTTTGTTTATACTTGTGTTTGGGGAATCCTTGCTAAATGATGCAGTCACTGTGGTGAGTAGAAAGTATTCAGTGATATGAATCATTAACTGATTTGAATTCTAGTGAAGTACACATGTAGACGTAATGTTCACTGCTGATTGAAACACAAATACTGTCTTTGCTCTATTAGTAACAGATGCGCTTACTTAAAAGACAGCAATGTGTCTTTGGTAAAAATAAGTCATACACTGTTTTTCTATCTGTGCTACTGGAGCAAAAACAATACATATTCAACACGAATCTATAAACAGAAATTAACATTTTGATGTATCATAGTTATATTGATTCATCCTCATCTGTTCGTGTTTCCAGAGAAGTCATCAGTGCTTATCTGAATTGTCATTTGTAAGCCTCATCCCCATTACCATCATTTCCCCCCAGGAAACATTGCTTTAATAGGTGAGTGAACATGGGACTACGGATTGAATCCTACAAAAAAGGAAATTGTATTATGGTTCTGTTACCAAAATTCACATGCACCAAATAGAAAAAAATGTATTTATATTTTCTG